TTCAAAAATATAATATTCCTTTTGCAAACAAAAACAGATACGTCAAACAGGACTTTGTTGAAGCGATTAAAGCTTACACTCAGCCCGAGGAAATTGCGGAAGTCGACATTAGAAACGTCAGGCGCTTTCAGGGTAATTTTCGCAATTGGGAATTGATACCCCGTTTCTTTGAATACGATTTGATAAACGTTTTCGATTTTTACAAAACTTTCATCGAGAAAAAGCTTTGGAAGAACTAAAAGAAATTGGCTCGTACAAATTGCAAACGGCTCTAAAAGTTCAATTTAGATTGGAAAAACCCGAAAAAACCGAATTTGGCGTATTTCCCTTTCCAAGCGACAACGATGCAGTAGCAAATAAAGCCGACGTTAAAAACGCACTCACTGAACAGAGGGAAAAACAAATAAAAGAGGTGGAGGCTCATACACAAAAAGGCTCGGGTTGGATCTTTGACAAAGTTGTCGCTTTTTACGTCAACGTGGTTAAATATAATCCAGCGGGTTCTTCTTACATTCCGTGCCTAAAGAATTGGGAGACAAAAAAGCAATCATAAACGTCCAAATAAAGATCAGGAATGTATCCGATGGGCGTTGCAGGCAGCTTTAAAGTTATATTCAGATGACGTCAAAACCCAAATTGAAGTTAATCCAAAATATAAAATACATGACGAGCGGCCTTCAACTTACATGCCGAAGGCGTCAGATGGTTTAAATTTTACAAACACAAGCTTTCCAACACCGATTTCACAAATCCCACGTATCGAATCGCAAAATAACTTGGCAATCAATGTGTTTGGTTACACTAAAAAGACGGTCTTTACATTTTTTTAAAAAGCAAGCGTCCAGAAGAACCGATCAATTTACTTTATTTTACCCGAGATGAAGAAAATCACTACTGTTGGATTAAAAACTTTTCTCGGTTGACGAGTGATATCGATCATCACAACGGCCAAAAACACTGGTGTTTCAATTGCATGTCGCATTTCCAAACGGAAGAAAAGTTAACCAGACACAAAGAAGATTGTCAAGGATTAAACGTTCCCACATGTACGGTCGAGTTGCCGGTCAAATGCGAAAATATACTCAAGTTTAAAAATTACAAAAATAAACAAGACGCGCCTTTTGTCATTTACGCCGATTTTGAGTCTGTTTTAGAAAAACTACCGCCGACAGATACAAACACTCTCACACAGATTCACAAGCCTTGTGGCTACTCATACATGGTCGTCAGATGCGACGGATTTGTACTTCAAATCAAACGTACAGGGGTGATGACGCGGCTGTTAATTTTGTACGGTCACTTTCTAAGGAAGCATCCAAGATCAACGAAACGTTTAAAAATAAAGCGAAGTTGATCTGGTCACCCGAGTTACAAAAATCTAAGAAAAATGTAAAGCTGTTGGATCTGCGAAAAGTTGATAGACAAGAAAATAGAAGAATCTCATTGCCAGTGTGATATTCCAAATGAACCAAAAACAAAAGCTGACAAAATTGATTTCTGTCATAAAAATGAAGCTGGGTTCAGAGAATGGGTATGTTTAGATTGCAAAAAGCCCATCAATAATTTTAGAAAGGTCAGAGATCATTGTCACGTGACGGGGAAGTACCGAGGCCCAGCGCATGCCAGGTGTAATCTCAAGTTAAGAATAGTGGTCAATCAAACACCCATTTCGGTGATTTT